CAGAGCCCTGGGCCAGGCTGCCCAGAGAGGCTGTGGAGTCTCCTTCTCTGGAGACATTCCAACCCCCCTGGCCACGTTCCTGTGTGATGTGCTCTGGGTGCCCCTGCTCTGGCAGGGGGGTTGGGCTGGGGGAGCTTTCCAGGTCCCTTCCAGCCCCTGAGATTCTGGGATTCTGTGAATCATCATAGAATGGTTTGGGTTGGAAGGGACCTTAAAGATCATAGAATTCCAAACCCCCTGCATGGGCAGGGACACCTCCCACCAGACCAGGTTGCTCCAAGCCTCATCCCACCTGCCCTTGAACACTTTCAGGGATGGGGCAGTCACAGCTTCCCTGGGCCAGTGTCTCACCACCCTCACACCTCACATTTCATTTGAGGTCCTTCAGTCCACCTCACTTGCTTTCATTTCAGTGACACGTTGCAGGAAGGCGTCCAGGTGTGTGACGTTCACGATCATTAGCAAATGTCAAGTGTGGCTGTGCTCAGAGTAAAGCACTTCTCAAACAAACTCAAATCTAAGCCAGGGGTTTGAGTTCGTGGCCCAGACTGCAGTATGATGGGTTGGGTCTGCCTCTTTGGCCTTTCTCACAGCAGGCATTGCAGACAGACCTGGAGAGTAAACTGGGATCACTAGTGTATGAACTGCTGCTGCAAATAAATTAGTTTAGAGATTCAGGAGCAGACTGTGCACACATCCATTTGCAATCTGAATAAACAGATCTACATGTGTCTGCTTAGTCTTTATTTTAAGAACTGCTAATAACTAGAGTAAGCTATATTAGATTAACACGTTAAACCACTTAGAGGTTCTCTAGTGTTATATTTTAGTATCTGTTACATGGAGTGTTTTAATTTCATGCACAATTCTGCTGTGTAAACCTCTCAAGGTGTAAACCTCACGTTGGTCTTAGAATTTAGATGTCAAAATTCTCCCCAGAGTGTCACTAGGGAGTTGGTCTGCATAGAGCAGCTTTACCTGGCTTCAAAATGGAATTCTCTCAGAGGAGTTCTGGATTATAATTATTATTACTATTATCATAATTCTGTACCTAATTGGGAAGAAGTGGTGTCTGTATGACTCAGACCCTTCTAGGCACAGGAACCTTTTTGGCTTTGTTCAAAAAGGGGTTTAGGGGGAAAAATTCACTCTCTTAGGAGCAGACTGAAAGGAAGTGGATCAAGTGTGTAAATAGGAACAGACCAGGAAAACCACTTCCCACAAGGGCTCTGTCAGCTGGGCCTTGGCTGCCCGGCAAAGGTGCTCACCATGCACCCTGGGCTGGTTTTTGGGTGCCACTTGAAGCAGCTTGTTCTGCCTCTGTGTTTGTGTAGCCAGACAGGCAGCACTGCTCAGTCTCTGGCCTAAAACTGGCTGCTTTCATTCCTGAGCTCACATGTGGTATGTGTTTAGGTCTAATCTCTTAATTCCTACAAGATGTGAATTGGTATTTCTGAAATCATAACAATTCTGAGAGAGTATGAATCACTTTTCTCTGGGATTTATTTAAAAGTCATGTTGCAGGTATTTACTGAAGGCAGTGGGGAGACCTGGTAGAACTAGTAATGCAAGTTAATATTTGTACTATTTAGTTAAGATTGGGATTTTGATCATTAAAAGCTCTGGGGAAAAGACTGGATTCAGTGTTGTACAAGGTACAGTGTTGCCTTATGCTGCCATTTCTTCACATGCTCTAGGAGTCTTGTTTGTGATGGGAAAAGAGGGTTGTTGACCAGACTGCTGCAGGTCATGAAGAAGGAACCAGCTGAATCCTCCTTCAGGTAGGTTCCCTCTGCTCTGTAACAAGTTGTTTCCAGTTGACTGTTCTCATACAGCTCCCAGCAGATGAAAGTGCTTGATAATCAGAAGCTGTGAAGAGCTCTGGTTTTGTTGCACTTGCCACAGGGACAGTGCAGGGGGGGGAGAATGGCAGGGCTTGCATGGCCCTTCATACCCAGCAAATCCAGGTTCAACATGTCCAAATCCAGCTTCACATTGGAATGAAACATGAGGAAAATTGATTTTAATTAGGTCTGAAATAAAATACTCCCCTTGCTCCAGAATTTAAACCTCATTTCTTCTGTTTCTCAGGTTTTGGCAAGCGAGGGCAGTTGAAAGTTTTCTACGAGGCACCACCTCCTATGCAGACCAGATGTTCCTGCTCAAGAGAGGGCTCCTGGAGGTAATGAAGTGCCTGTCAGGCTTCCTCTGTAATGTATTTCCATAGCCATCCAGAAGGATTTATCTGTAATTATTTCAAGAGAGGGTAAAAATGTAGTGTTAAGTATATACTGGGCAACTTTTGAAAAGCATCTGTGGATTCTGCTTGTGGTGGCCAGTTCTACAGCCTCACCTGAATTGTTGTCTTTAGTTCTGTCCTCTTAAGAGCTAAACCTGCAGATAAATGTTTTAAATAGTGATGAAATCAGAGTCTGTGCTGTGCTGCTGGTTTGGGCTAAACTGTGGCCATAACATGTTTTTCTCCCACACCAGCATATTCTCTACTGCATTGTTGATAGTGAGTGCAAGTCACGAGATGTGCTCCAGAGTTACTTTGACCTTCTGGGAGAACTGATGAAATTCAATATTGATGCATTCAAGAGATTCAACAAGTACATCAACACAGATGAGAAGGTAAATATTTGTAAAAGTTGTCCCCATTGGGTCAAATTACAACCTCTTACAAGCAAACGTAGCACCAAGAGAGGCAGATTCGTTTCCTGATTCTGGTGTGATGGTTGAGCTTGGTGCTCAGTAAACATGGAAATCTCTTCACAAACCTGCATGTTCCTGGGTACACTCATGTTTCAGGGACTCTGAGCAACCTGGTGTAGTGGGAGGTGTCCCTGCCCATGCAGAGTGTTTGGAACTAGATGATCTTCAAGGTCCCTTCCAACCCAAACCATTCTATCATTCTGCAATTGCTCCCAGGTGTTCTGAGTCAGCAAGTGCTGAGCTGGTCATAAAACATTGCCCTGTTGCATGATCAGGCAGGTCTGAGGTGAGGGCCCCAAGATGACAGAGCAATTCCTTTGAAGTCACTGGAGTTTGGGTTTGTTGTAGACAATGAGACAGGCTCCAAACAATCTTTTAGTGGAGCTTGGGGTGTGGGTTCTTCATGGAGATGACTTTAAATATATGCATTAATATTTGATACTGCAAAAAGACACATCTTTGATGTTACTTGAAATTCCTGGCATTTTAAGAAGTCATGGCTGATGCAGTAACCTCTAAAACTTGGTTGCATACATAGACCAAGAATGTGGTTTCATGCTCTTGTGCACTTTGTGCATGGAACATCAGCTGTTGGTTGGGTTTTGAACTACCTCATACTCCTGCTTATGTTGCTGTAGTTTTTCTGGTGGCAGTTAGGTCTGGCAGACCTTGGAGAGTAGAAGCAGAGAAGTATTTAAAAGAAGGATGTATTTAATTTCAGGTTGTTTTCTGGTAAATAAACTCACACAGATTCTAGAGAATCTGTCTTGATACTTTGTGCTTCCTGTTTATTGATCTATAACCTCTTTCCTTCTCATGCTGTATGAATCCCTCACTTCCTCTGTGCTGTACAAAAGAAGGGTAGGAAAACATGGAGCTGGAGGAACTACCAAGGCCACAGTCATGCTGTCTTATCTCCCTCTTTCAGAACAAGCACTATATAAAATCTTGCTCTCTGTCAAGTGACACAGCTTCACAAAAGTTTTTAGCCCTGCCAGGACTTGAGTATTTTTCTGTTCCCTGGTGGTTTTGAGTATTTACTTGCTCTAGGGATGTTCTGGTCAGCCTTCAGTGCCAGTATTGGCTTGGAGTGGCTGAGGCAGACCTGGAAGCATATAACTCCTCTTATTCTTGTTAGAGACAACAGAAAAGGAAATGAAGCCTAAGTGTTTTGGGATTCAGAACCTAACTCTTGTTTCTGAAGGGAAGGGGAGATTGTCCATGTGTGTGAGGCCTTATGTTGGTGGAGTGCATGTTGTAGGTGTTTGTGCTCAGAAGTCAAGGTGGTTTTTCCAGTATCCTTCAAGAGTGGGATTCTTTTCAGTGTCTAAAGTCTGGACAACACTTACTGTTGCCCTCCTCACCAAACCCTCTCTGTAGCTCTTCCTGCTTGTGTTCACTGACCTGTTCTTGTGCCAACAGGGCGGGCAGACCTCTTGGCCACGTGCATCCTGAAAAGGGTCTGAAAGGTTCTGCCAGGCCTCCTCTGTGACTTCACCAAGGATTAATTTGTTTGTTTGTTTTCTTTAATGCAACTCTGTCTTTTCTCTTCAGTTCCAGATATTTTTAAATCAGATCAACAGCTCACTGGTTGACTCCAACATGCTGGTGCGTTGCATCACACTGTCCCTGGACCGGTTTGAGAACCAGTCTGATGCTAAAGGTAAAGAGCAAGGAGTGGGGAGGGGGTTGGGAGTGACAGAGGACATTCTCAGTCTGCCCTTGGGACATTTTGGCTTCAGACAGAGAAATGCCACTTTGCAGGTTGGTTGCTGCAGCCTGTGCAGCAGTTCTTACTGCTTGGACCCATGTGCCTGAGCTGGAAGCAGCTGGTGATTGTCTCTCTCCCCCTGCTGCAGTTGCAGAGGTGCTGTCCGAGTGCCGCCTGCTGTCCTACATGTCCCAGATGTCCATGAGGATGTCCTTCCTGTTCCGTCTCATTAACATTATCCACGTACAGACACTGACACAGGTAAAGAGCAGACTGACTTGGAAGTTCTCTGGCTGATTCTCTAGTGAGGAACTGGGCTGGGAGGAGGGAGGAACCTGGTTTCTTGGGGAGCACCTCTGCGTGCTTCCCATGAGCACCGTTTGTAAGGACGTGGGTACAACTGACGTCCCCTTTTGTTACTGTTTGACCTACCGTGTTGTTTTTACTTTCAGGAAAATGTCAGTTGTCTGAACACAAGTTTAGTCATCCTCATGCTGGCCCGAAGGAAAGAGAAGCTGCCTTTTTACCTGCGCACTTTGCAACAGATGGAATACACGGAGAAATACCCGGGCTTCATCCTGAACAACTTCCACAGCCTCCTGCGATTCTGGCAGCAGCATTACCTCAACAAGGACAAAGACAGCACCTGCTTAGAAAATGTATGTGGTCCTCTCACTGCAGCAAAAACCACTCGTAGCAATATCCTGGTAAAAATGGGAAGTGGGAGGTCGTGAAGGGAGAGAAGGGAGCAGGTTCTGCCCCTCAGCGTGATGTTCTGTAGGGCTTGTCACACCACCTGGCCCAGTCAGGTTCCCAGTGAGACCACAGGGTGGGTGCTGGGTGTTCCTGCACACAACACCTCAGGCCTTGGCTCTGGCACACAGAATGAGGCTTGCCAAAGCTGAGTGGGTTTGAGAGGCAGGGCTGGTGAGGTGGCAGCAGAGTCCAGCTCCCAAACTTGATGTGACCTTCACCAGGCTGTCACTGGGTGTGCACACTGTGGTACTTGCATCTTGGGCCACTGGGAGGATGGAAATAGTTGTCCAGTGTATGAAGGCTTTGGGTAAGATCTGATGTGGTGTAGGGCTGCTGGAGGGGCCTGTTGGCCTGCAGATGACAGTGCAGGAGGGATGTGAGCAGGGAGGGTGTATTGTCTCTGTCTGCCCCAGGAGCAGGAGCTACTGCCAGCACTGGCATGATCTGCAGCACCACAGTGTCTCCATTTGTGTTTGGGCTGGACAGCAAAGAAGCTTGGGCTGCTGGTTGTCCTGTGCTGCTCTGAGTGGGACTGTAGTTGCCCCAGGTGCTGGGAGTCCAGCCCGTGGATGGGTGGTGGGGCTGGTTGTGACAGGTGGTGGTTCAACATCCACTCACCCATCCCTTCTGCTCCACACCCTGGGGAGCCTGGGCTGAACGGGGAACCTGAGGTGTGAAACTGTGGCTGGGGAAGTCAGGCTGAACAGGAAGCTATTTCAGTGCTTTCTGCTGCCTGACTCTGGGCTGTGTCTTCTGCTGCCTGTTGGTGCCTGGGAACCACACTAACCATCCTCTCCCATCTCTTCCCACAGAGCTCATGTATTAGTTTTACCTACTGGAAAGAGACTGTATCTATACTGCTCAGTCCAGACCGGACATCCCCCTGTGCCATAGTTAGCTACATCGACGAGGCATATATGGACATTGACAGAGACTTTTCTGAGGAGTAACCCTTCACCCTGGGCTCTCAAGGACAGCACTCGGGGGGCACCTCAGCCCGTGGATTTTCAGGGATACGCTGTGTAGTGTGTGTGTGTGTGCGGCTCGGAGCGCCGGGCCCTCCTGCATTGTCACAACCCCAGCCCTCTCCTGATCCCCAGCTCTGATCTCTTAACAAAAAGAGACTTGGAAAGCTCTCTGGGCAACACATTCAGGGATGTATCTTCCAGTTATTCTGGGATAAAAATATTCACCTGCAAAAAAACAGCCTCTTGATTGTTTTTTCCCCCCCCTCTGTCTCTCGCAGCCCCACGAGGCTGGTCAGAGGGTTGGGTTTTTTTTTAATTGACAGATGAGGATATTCTGTATGTGCCAATGTAGGTGTGGCTGTATTTCATGGCTACCAGAATTAGCAAGTCAAAAAGCACAGAAATTGCCCTCCAAATGTGAGGTCCAAGGAGCCAGCCTGACTGGGACCTGACTCACCAGCCACGTGCAGAGCCACCACAAGGACTCCCTTCAGGTGTGACTTCCATTGGGCTTTGGAACCAGGGGCTTAGGGTTGGTTAGAGTGTGAGAGTGTGTGTGTGTGCTTTTAATTCCTGAGAGCCCTGGCTCCAGTCACCTCTTTACCATCTACTTTTGGATCATTTGGTACTAAAGCTGTCTGTTTGTGTGTTAGGAGAGAACCTCTGCTCCTGCTCTTTCCTGCAGATCCTTCCCATCCAAAGGTGTTTTGCAATATCTGTGGAGAACAGAGACATTTCAGCAGTGGTGGAATTGCAATAGGGGTTGGCTTTTTCATGGAGCACTAGCATTAAAATGTACTAATTTTTTAAACTTGCAGCTTGTTCCTTCTTGGGTAACTAAACTGGTTTTAAAATCCTTTTCAGGACCATTGCTCTTGATGCTAACCTGCTATGCCTGGAAGTCTTAGGGTCAGTCTCTGCTTTCAGTCCTTAATATCAACACACACATTAATCTTGAAGTGCAATATTTACTGGAGATGTCAGGTGTGTTGTTTTTTTTTTCCTGGATCTGTTTTAATCAGAATGTGTTAAGTGCTGGGAATAAACACTCCTGGTTGAATTGAAAGTAACTTTTTGGATATGTTGGGAAAGGGGAGTTGGGTTTTGGCTCTCCTGATTGTCAAGCCTGCACGTTTCCTGCCTTCTCACCAAGGTTAATTGTGTTGCTCCAAGACAGGCAGATTCCCAGGAATGAGATTCAGTCTGAAGTCCTGAGCCATTGCATTGAAGTAAAAAAAAATGTCTTGCAGCTCCAGCTCAGAGAAACCAGTTTTCTTTGAATTTTTATAAACGTTCTTAACTTATTTGACGACATGACTCGACTTCAGCTCTTTCCAACCTCTGGAGAGTGGCCAGGGGTGAGGATGTCCCAGAGCTGTAGGATTTTGTCCCTAATCTTTGCCAGCAGAATTAAACCCACGCTGAGGATCCCTGTGCTGGGACCTGGATGAGTGGACAAGGGTTCCAGCCCCAGGTTGCAGGACTTGCTCTCCAGACCTCCCCCTTCTCCTCTTGCTGATCTCACCTGGACTTGAAGTCAGTACTTTGCTTGCAGGGTGGTTGGAGCTGCTGAGCTTGTGCATAAAGCTGGAGCCTTGCAGGAGCTCCAGGGGGTCCCTGTGTCCCTCCCCAGGGAGCTCAGTCCCCTGGGCAGACTGTCCTGCTCCAGTGAGGTTACCCCAGTTGCTCCCTTTGTGTCAGGGAGCTCCCTGCTACAGCAGCTGCAACTCTCTGTTCTTCATCAAGGTCCTCCCACCTCTCTCCCTCCCTCCCCTCAGCTAATTTCTTTCTCATCTGTACTTTTTTTTGTTCTTGGGTATTTGTGTTTTTGGTGTATCTTTGCTTCTTAACTGTAATAGATGTACACTTAAAATAAATGCTTCAAATTAAAAGGCTTTTAAGTTAAGGGATGCCTTTGCATCTAGTTAATTGGTGCATCCAGGGATTGCTGCTATCAACCTGCACAGTCTCATTCCCATCTCTTTATGGAATGTAGAGTTAGGGACCAGGCTGGGCCTGTCCTTGGCTGGTGACCTGTCTGAGGCTGAGCTGGGCCTGCTCCAGCCTGCCCTGGGCACAGGGTCCTCCCAGGGCTGGGAGCAGAGTCACCCTGGGGTCCCTGCTCACCCCGGGGGGGCAGGTGGCTGAAGTGAGGGGCACAGGGCAGGAACCCAGGGCAGAGCCAACAAAGGAGCAGCTCCCCAGAGGCCTGGGGAAAGGGCAGGGGGGCTCACAGGTGCTTTTTGACTGGGGGCCATGCTCCTGTGGGCTCATCTTTCCCTGCCCAATGCTTCAGGGATCTCATTTTGAGAGGGACCAGGCAGCTCTGTCCTCCATCCTTGTTTTGTCTTGCCTCTGGAGAGCTTTGGGAGGAAGCACAGCGTGTGGTGCTGGGAGAGCTCGCTGGTTCAGTGGAGGGGGCAGTAGGTTGTGTTCTGGGAATGGGGAAGTGGGACCCTTGTCCCTCAAAAATACTTCTGGAAGTCTGCACTATCCCCATGGATTGCTGAGGTTCGTGCTGCCCAGATTAATGCCAATTTACTAACTGCAATTAAACGCATTACATGGAAACTATTAAAGAAATCTATTTTAAAGAAATGAGTGGAGATGTCTTTCTTGGCAGGAACAACCCTCCCTCTGCCCTGCAGGACTAATAGTTGGGCCTTTTTTTTTTTTTTTTTTTTT